ATTATTGAAACAAATTGAATACATAGATATGATAAGCAAGGGTGACTTTACCAAAATTGTGAAATTCATGGCCCCAGGGTCAAGGGTTCTGGTGAAAAGGGGGGGGGGGCTCTATTGATTATATAGTGAAAAAGCAAAATATCTTTGAAAATCTTCTTCTTTACTCCTGGGTATTATTTAAACAAATTAAATACATAGTTATGATTAGCCAGGGTGACTCTACCAAAATTGTGAAATCTATGGCCCCAGGGTCAGGGATTCTGGTGCTAGGGCGGGGTTATATAGATCATATAGTGAAAGTGCATTATTTCTTTGAAAATCTTCTTCTCTACTCCTGGGTATTATTGAAACAAATTAAAAACATAGTTATGATAAGCAAGGATGCCTCTTCCAAAATTTTGAAATTCATGGCCCCAGGGACGGGGGTTCTGGTGCTAGGGTGGGGCTATATAGATCCTATAGTGAAAGTGCATTATTTCATTGAATATCTTCTCTGCCCCTGGGTATTATTTAAACAAACTAAGTACATTGTTATGATACGCAAGGATGCTTCTTCCAAAATTGCGAATTTCATGGCCCCAGGGTCAAGAGTTCTGGTGAAAGGGGGGGGGGCTCTTTTGATTATATAGTGAAAAAGCAAAATTTCTTTGAAAATATTCTGGTTAAAAAGCAAAGAAGCTAAGTGTATAATTAAAATGAGCAAGAGTGCTTCTTCAAGAGTAGTGAATTTCATTACCCCTGGGTCAGATGTACTGGTGTAAGGGTGGGGCTCTTGATAATATAGTGAAAATGCATTAATTCTATTAAATAATCCTGTCTGCTCCTTAGTGTTAAGCAGATAAACAAAGTGATTACTTATGGTGAGCAAACTTCTGGTCCCAGGGTGAGAGGCTCCGGTGTTTCTCGGTGGGGAGGGGGGTGGCTCTGTTGATAATACACATGTATAGCGAATATTATTATAGTGAATCTGTAGTAAAAATGCATTATTTCTTTAAAAATCTTCTCTGCACCTGGGCATATCAGAGGCAAAAAGAGTAAAAGTTTTAATAAGGAAGAGTATTTTTACCAGATTTTTGAACATCTGGACCATTTGGTCAAGTGTTCTGGTCCTGGCCAGGGCTCTATTAATTTGTATCCCACTGAGAGGAGTTATTCCCCTTTGCCATTTACTTTTGATAACACTGTAAATAATGTACTTGAAAGGTTAAAAGAATAGGAGAATTATGCAAGAATTTTTATTGTATAATACAAAAAGTACTTTCTTAGTTTTAATGATCAGGTAGACTTGTAAGTAATAGATAAATAAAAATGAGACAAAAATAACTTGTCTTATTAAATGTTCATCAAAGACCAAGAGAGGCCAATGTAAGAAATTTCAACAAGGAATTAAAATAGTACAGAATCACTGATAGTTTGTTAATATATTGTATGGTGAGAGTGAGAACCTAATTTATGAACTGTTAATGAATACTAGACTAATTATTTTGTTGATATTGATCACCCTATTTTCTTGCTTTTGGGCAACAAAGGTTCACCTTTCAGTTCATTTTATACTCTATGGATTCTCTAAATTGTTGTATTGTACTCAGGTGACCGTTAAGGCCCTTGGGCCTCTTGTTTTGGTTTAATTTTCTAATTTTTCAATGTTTCAGGATTGTGGAAGACCATTTTTGAACAATCCAGTGAATATGCAGGCAGTATCTTCTCCAGCCAAACAATTTCAATCAGCAATCAGATTGCTCACAGTCCTCTGTTTGCAATCTTGATAGATTAAATCTTTTTAATCAACTTTTGCAGTCCTTCAACAGAAGTCCTGTGAAACAAATTCAGTCATCATTGGCAAGTAGCAGTGGACGCACACAAAAGAAGATATACATCAAAATTGAAAGATTGTGTAAGAGTTCTTTGTGGTACTTTTTGTCCAGGTGAGGGTGATATCCTCCATGATATGTATGTCTCAGCCTTAATTAGAAGAGAAATTACAGTCTCACACAGAAAATACTGCACTGTGGTTGGCTGAGATATACACGTCCACAGAGACCTGGACTTTTAGAAGGCAAATTCTTTCTATACATGCCCAGGACTACAATTTTGATGCAATCAGCCAGGTGTATTATAATTTTTACTGATTATCAAAATTTTAATTATTATGTATTTTATTCAAGTATTTCAAAATCAAATTTTATGCCATGTAACATATTATATTCGATCTGTTATTCTCTTTCATCAAAGAAATATTGATTTATATATGCTCACTAATGGACTAGCAGTTGATTTGTTTAATACTTGTTGTTTGTCAAAGAATTATCAATTCAATGTAATAAACAATTAATAATTAAATGTCTTTTAATTTTGAAATGTATAGGAAGCTTCTTTTCAGTGATGTTACCATTGTTTTTACTTACGCATTTTTAAAACTATTTAATTATTGGTTTTTAATTTCAGCTGATACTAGAATTGACCAGTTGGCGGTATTGCACAGCAAAGAATCACTCTAATGAACAAGGCTGTGGAGTTCCTGTTTTGACAAATAAAATACAGAGAAATAAAGTCAACATGGAACAGTTAGAACATTTTCTTGATTTTATTACATCTTCAAATATCTTGAAAGATATTCCATTTGGTGAAAAGAATTTGAAACTCTCTAATGGTGAAGTAATTCACATCCCAAATGTTGTGAGATGCATCAGGGCCCATCATCTCTAATAGGCCAGTACCAACATTTATGCGAATCAGAGGAGTTTCATCCCCTTAGGTATGAATTATTTTGATAAAATTTCACAGCTATATTTAAAAGGAAAGTTTTTTTATGCTCCCATAATCCAAAATTCGGGGGCATATAGTTTTTGCTCTGTTTATCTGTCTGTCTGCAAAAACTTTAACCTTGCCGGCCATAACCTTTTGAATAGTTGATGCCATGGCTTTCATATTTCTCTGTATATTCCCAACATTTTAGACCTTTTGATCTACCTTGACCATGAAGAACCTACTTTTCAAAACTTTAACCTTGCCCATATCTTTTGAATGGTTGGTGTTATGGGGTATTATATTTCATATGTGTATTCCTTCTGATAAGACCTTTCTTTAGTTACCAACATTTCTGAACTTTTGACCTTGATATTTCACCTACAATTAAAAAACTTTTTCATGGCCATGAGCTGCCATATGGGTGCATCAGTGTTTCACAGCCACAGTTTGTTTGTACTTTAATACATAAATTGTACTTGGAAAAATATGTACAAATAATTAGTAACAACTCATCTAGCTTTCTGTACAAGTAATAGTCATTAACTGAAGGTAGCAACTTTGTATCAATCCATCAGTCTATTTGTATTTATATTGCATCTTGGATTGTAAATCCCATAAAATTACAAGAAGTACAAGCCTTCTAATTTGGGAAGAGTAGAGCTATATATATATATATATATATATATATATATATATATATATATATATATATTTGGCAGGAACAAGCACTTTGTTCAAGACTTTGAATGAGTATATGAGTGTTCTGCATCAATTAGGAAGAGCATGGAGGGGATTGACTACTTTGTTCTGGAGGCAGGCAGAGGATTTCAAACTCTGGATGAGATCATAGGGCACTTGAGTATTTCACAAGTCAAGGCAAAGGATATGAGGTTTACTCTTGTTGATGGAAAACAGTACCTAAAATCTGACTATAAGTTAATTGAAGGATTTTAACTGTAAGTTCAATCACACTGAAAAACACATTTTCTTTTGCCATTATGTAAAAGATATATCATCAGACATCAATTATTAAACTGTAAAATTTTCCACGTATTACCGTATATACTCGCTTATAAGTCGGATTTTTGGGAGTTAAACTATGGTCCAAAACTCTATGTCCGACTTATAGGCGAGTTATAAAAAGATTGGTATTTTAGAAGGTCAATCCCTCTAATATAAGTTTCAAAAATAAAACCGACTTGCAGGCGGACCGACTTATAGGCGAGTATATACGGTAATAATTTTTGGGGGTAAAGCAGGATCATTAGACTGTGATTTTTTAAGAATTGCAGTGAAAGTAAGATTTGATATAAACCATTGTAGGTTCTGCATATTGAAAAGAGTTCCAAAGTGGCTGATCACTGTCGTCTGTTTGCTCTAAGTGACCAAGACCATTCTTACAGTATGGTATGTGACCATGAACATGAGGCTGGTTGTTCAAGGTGCAACATGTTGGACGACGTATTAGCTGAAATACAGAGAGAATGTATTCAGTCCCAATGGAAAAACAGAGAAGCAACAGTCTCTCAGGTATTTAAATGCATTTTTAAAAATATTTCATGTGAATTCAAATGTCTTACAAAATAAATATACACATTTGTTAGATAGCATTTGAATTCAATGTTGAGAGGGCATTTAAATTAAAAAAAAATAACAGTTAGACAAGAGCAACCATGTCCCCAAATCATAAGAATGATATTTTATTAAAACATTCTTATTTTATAGCAGATATGTTCATTTTTAGCTCACCTGAGCTTTTCTGATCAAAGAGTGTCCGGTGTCTGTCTGTCGACTGTAAACTTTTGGTATTTTTGACTTCTTCTCAAGAACTACTGGGCTAATTTCAAACAAACTTGCCACAAAGCATCCTTGGGCAAAGGGGATTTAAATTTGTTCACAGGAAGTGCCACACCCTCTTCCAAGGGGAGATAATTAAGAATTTGTGAAATTTGATGGCATCCTTTAAAAATCTTCTTCTCAAGAACCACTGGGCAAGAAAAGATAAAACTTGAGTGAAAGCTTCATTACATTACTCTCAATTCAAGTTTGTTCATATCATAACCCCCGGGGGTAGGGTGTAAATCAGAGTTCAGTGTCAAACTCCAAATACAGTCCTCAACAATCCCATTTTATCTTTATAACCTTCACTAAAGTCAAGGCCCTTTGAGAATGCTCAGTGATATCTAGTTTGGTATACATGTATGATGTAATTATCTTTTTAGGTTCAGCATGCAGTTGACAGCATAAAAGAGTTGAAGAGCCACATAATGAGATCAAGAAACCAGGAAGAAGCTAAAACCACTCTCCTCAATGAAATGACTGAAAATGATATCATTATAACCTGTGATTGGGATATGAAATTTTTGCCACGAAAGTTCCTTGAGGGGCAGATGGATTGGTATGGCAAGAGGGATCAATTGGCATGTAGCTGTAAGCATAAGCAAAAGAAGAGGTGCCTTCCAGACCATAACACATATTCACATTTTTTCCTCTCAGGTAATTTTTTAGTAAAATACTTGTCATTAGCATATTTTTTCTCCCATTGGTGTAATACAAAGTTCAATGTCGAACTCCAATTACATTTTTTCCTCTTAGGTAGCACAGGATTCTACTGTCACTGCATACTGTATAAGTGATGTGGCCAAGGATGTGATGACCATAAACCCAGGGACAGAGAAAACCCACATCTTCACAGATAATGCAGGTTGCTACAAAAGCACATTAACATTGGTGATCTTAAGGAAAGAGCTTGGAGAGAACATTAAAACATTTAATTTCTGCGAAGCTCAAGATGGAAAAGGTATGTCATATGCATGCATTTTCCATGTACAATACCTTGATTCTGTCAAAGTCAAACTGAATTATTTATGCACTAGACAAGTTATACACCTTTGAAGTAATGAAAAGCCCATTAAGCAATAGCACAGTGGTAATTAAAGTATAAATATTAATGGCTTTTATGCATGCATCATGAAAATATTTAGTAAATCATCCAAAATTCTTGACTTAAATCCAAGCATGTCAGAAATTTCAATTTTTTTTTTCTTCAAAAACTCTCAATTTATCATACATATCCTATTGATATGTACATTTCAGGGTCATGCGACAGAAGAGCATCGCATATAAAAGGTTGTATAAAACGGTACATCAATGAAGGCCATGATGTGACAAATGCCACTGAAATGAAAATTGTAAGTATCTATTTAATTTTTTCAATGCTTGTTGTACGTTTTGAACATCTTTAAATACGGCCTAAGAAAAATATGTTTGTTTACTATTACATGTTAATAAAAAGTAGGATCGTTCCCAGTATTAAAAGTAATGGATACTAAAAGTGACTTTATGACTTTCATGTTTGAAGGAAACTGCATAGACATGCAATTTCTGGATTTTACACTAAAGAAAAAAAATGGGTCAGGGTATAAAACGGGGGTTGGTTGGGTAATCATTAACAAATATTTTTTTCCCTAAAGCTTAAGGTTCATAAACCCTCGATCTGCTCATTCATATAAAATATATTGCTTTAACTGTTCTGTTTTTCCAAGAGAAATGTATTCTATAAGTAAAATACAAACAATTATAGCATACTTTGCGGGGCAAAATTGGACAAGAAAGACACTTTAACTTGACAAATTTATAAAGGAATAAAAGACATTAATGTCATTAAGAGTTAAATCTCTCTTATCAGAGTATCAATGAATCTTAAAACTGTAATTTTTTAATATAGCACCCATGCAGATGTAAATTGAATTAGCTATCTAATAGAAAGAAAGTTACATATGTTCAAATGAAGTTGTATGCAAAATAAATATCTATATTATATATATATATTATAAATTTTATACAGGCTATAAACCAAAAGCAAAAAGGAAACTACAAACTTAAGTCAAAGTTGTGTAAACCGTGTCAAACCTTGATCCTGAGGATATGAATTTCAGACAGATTCCAGGAATATCTCAACTTTATAATTTGAACTTTAAGGGAGATTCAGTTAGAGTGTGGAAGGCTTTTGGAGTAGGTGAAGGTAAATTATTTTAACATCTTGTATTTTTGCTACAGGGAAAATGAATTTAAGGTAATTTAGTTTAAGATTCAAATTATATATATATATATATATATATATATATATATATATATATATATATATATATATATATATATATATATATATATATATAAATAAATAAATAATATTATATAGATATATATATATATTTATATATATATATATATATATATATATATATATATATATATATATATATATATATATATATATTAGGGATGTCAATTTTATCAATAATTCATATTCAAATATTCAATGAAAGTATTGGAATATATTCGAATATTCGATAAAATAAGTAAAATCTGTTTTATTTTAAATATGCATCATCCTACTTTCATGAAAGGTTTAGCATAGGTATACTTATATTGAAAGTGAAATTGTATGCAGACTTTTGTAGGTTTACAATAAAATTCCATTTGATATTTGTCAATGTTTGAAATAAATAATTGATTTAAATGTAGAAAGGTATAATTTTAACAAATGAAACGTGTATATATAGTAGCTCCAGCTAAGGAACCAGTCGTCTTACCAAAGGCATGATAGTCGTAACGATATACTGTTCGGATTTCAATACATGTAATAAATTACAATTATCTGCCTAATAAGAGACATGATTATAATCTTTGATACAATATTTTAAAAATATAATCAAATATTTCCATAGACAATTTTCCTAGGTAATTATCTAATTTCCCAATAATGAATATAAAACTCAGGATTTTGTACAACCCGAGATAATCAAGTAATTTACACATTTATTCTGAAATTGGGCCCTTTACAATATTAATTACAGACTAATTATATATCGGACATTCATTTAATGATCAATTAAATTTGTTTAGATAAGTATGTATACTCTTCACTATTTAGACATTCGAAGATTTTCATTTTGTTGTCCTCTATTCTAGATCCGATCGTATTTAACTTATGAAAACTATGAAAGTACGTTTTGTATTATACATAAAGCATTATTGTACAATTCATTAACACCTTTTCAAAACAAAATACATGTAATTTAGTAGATCTATAGGATAAGAAAGCAGTGAAAGAAATCAGGCGATCGAAATTGATCACTAGTAAATTAAACAGGGATAATTCCAAACTTTATTAATCACAGTATTTCTTTTTATGAAATCTGAAAAACACCGAATATTCGAATCTTAATTCTATATTCGAATATCAGCTCATCGAATGAATATTCGAATATTCGTTGCCATCCCTAATATATATATATATATATATATATATATATATATATATATATATATATATATATATATATATATATATATATATATATATATATATATATATATATATATATCTGTGTGTGTATGTTTGTTTGTTATATCACATGTATGATCTAATTAGAAAACTGATTTTCAATATAAGTATGAGTATACATATATTTATTTCAGGAAAAGAAATAAAGTTAAACCTCGAAAGTTCCACTGTCCCATCAAATCCACTCAAAGTAGTTAAAAACTGTTCATACTCTACTTTTCATGTTGTTGGAAATAAAGGTATAGGTTTGTTTCATGTTCTTTATGTCCAGTTATACATATCTGAAATGTACATGGAGTTTTGTGTAGTTTTTTTATTTTGTTTTTGTTCTTCAGTACACTTGCTGTAAAAAAAAAAATAATGTACACAGAAAATTGAAAATGGTAAATTTACACAAAGGATCAATTTTGTCATTATTATGTCTCCCCTTCCAAGGAGAGACATATTGTTTTTGTAGATTTTTTTATTCTATTCTTATTCGTCTTCATCCAAATTTTGTCCGGGTCGTAACTTAAATACCCTTTGACATTAAGACTTCAATCTTTGAACATAGATAGATGACATTAAGAAAAAGTGCATGCCTTCAAATTTTTGACCTTGCCTTATATATATGGTCAAGGTCACTCTTTTACATCAAAATAGAGTCCAGGACAAAACTTCAGATCCCTTCAATATCAGAACTTCAAACTTATAACATAGAAAGAAGACATCAATACAAGATGCACTGCATCAGAATTTTGACCTTGACCCTTTCTTCCATCAAGGTCAAATAGAGAAAAAACTTGATTAGATCATAACTTAAGAATCCTTTGTTATAAAGACTTCAAACTTGTAACATGCAGAGGTGGTATGAAGGAAAGGTGCATGCCACCAAAAATTTTGACCTTAATCCAATTTATAAGGTCAAGGTCAATCTTGTACATCCCAAATTAGAGTCCAAGCCAGAACCCAAGAACCCTTTGATATTAGGATTTCAAATTTGGAACATAGTAAGAAGACATTAATACAAGATGCACTGCACCAAAACTTTGACCTTGACCCCTTTCTTCATCAAGGTCAAATTGAGAAAACACGACTAGACCATAAGTTGAGAACCCTTTGACATGAAGACTTCAAACTTGGAACATGGAGAGGTGGTATAGAGGAAGGAAGAATGCCAAAAATGTTTTAACCTTGATCTATTAATAAAGTCAAGGTCAATCTTTTACGTGAAAATATAGTCCAGGTCATAACTTGAGAATTTTTTGACATTAGGATTTCAAACTTGGAACAAGGAAAGACAACATGCACTGCATCAAAATATTTGACCTTGACTGCTTTCTTCATTCAAGGTCAAATTAAGAAAAACACGACCAGACCAAAACTTAAGATGCTTTTGACATAAAGACTTGAAATTTTGTACACAGATCGAGGAATTTGAGTGGAGATGCACTACATTATTAGTTTTGACCATGATCATATTATTGCACTTGTTAATGTTGGTAAAGAAGGTGAGATGTGTGGGGTTTTTTTGATTGTCCACAAGATGCTTGTTCTCATTCTTTTTCTTTATTTTGTGCCTTAGAGGATCATTTGCTCCTTGGCAACTGTAATTACAGGTTAGAAAAAAATGTTTTTAAAAGATCAGGCCAAATCTTTGTATGGTGAAAGAATCAATAACCTGTATTCTTCTAACTATCCGTTCCACACGGATTGCCAAAACCAACTAGAATCACAACAAACTTCCTTGGCAAAGGGCTGGTCTCTCAAAAGTAAGAAGAAAAGGACATATTTTTTGGAAAAACAGAAGAATTTCATCGTGTCATTGTATGAAGTAGGTAAAAAGACAGGAAGTATTGATCCTTATGATGCAGCAAAAGCTATGCAGGAGGAGAAAAGGGATGAGAAGTATGTGTTTTCTGCATCAGAGTATTTGACAGGACAACAGATTGCTTCATTCTTTTCCCATTTAAGGACATACGCAACGTACCTTACCTACTGATAATTTTTCAAAATATTCTTAATTCAAGATTATAGTGCCATCAGATGTTTGTAGACAAAAAATCACCATGCTTTACCAGGAGTTTTGAAAAGATATCAATTGATGAAAATTCTTGTATAATTCAAAGAAAAATATACAAAAATTACTAAACATATATTCTAGATGTTTTGTTTATCCACACTTGTTTTAGAAGAAGTGTACAATAGCATATATAGACATTAAAATGTAGCACACAGTTCCTTTAAGTATTGGAACTCTTCAACTCCAGGGAAAAAGACAATAAAGTTCTAATTACGTTGCGTATGTGCATGAAAGGGAAAACCATAGACATTGTAGACTTAAAAGTAATGAAGATGGAAAATGGAAGGTCAAAATTGAAAAAATGAGATTTTGAGTGTCATATCAGATTAACTGTGTCTGAAACTTTGTTGATCTGTCAATATATATTTGAAATTTTATTCACTAGTAAATGCTTGCTTTTGACGTCATTAATTTGGTACATTACTAAGTTTTTGATAGAAAAAGCTTCAAAATGACTCATTTCTTGGGTTATTTTCTTTAAGAAAATAGTGTCCACATCCCTGGCCACTTCAATTTTCAGAAATGTTGTGTAAAATCCTTTGAAAATTCAAATGTCTCAAAATCTCTGTGGGCGATCATGTGCTCTATATTATCTGAGAGAAAATTCCAATAAAAATTGATGTTTTCTGCAACGTACTCTTTAAGAAAATACTGGAAAATGTACAAGTTCATGATGTCACAATTAGCATTTAAGAGGTCAAATTAGAAAAATGATTTGTATGTGCTTACTGAGTGGAATTTCAAGGATTCAGAAAGCAAGAGTTTACATGTTTATCACTTTCCTATTTTAGAAAAATACAGGGCCAGATTTGTATTGAATCCTGTACTTCGTTCTTCAAAAAAATGTACATCAGAGTAACAAATGATATAAGTACAACAGATTAGTGTGGGTTTTTCCTTGTAAAGAACCAGATGTTGGAAAAGTTCAAGTTAATCATAATGTAAGATAATTTTAAACGAG